CTTCCAGGATCTCGTGATGAAGAAGGCCCAGAGCGCAGCTTCCCCGGCCAAATCTGAAATGCCGTCGTCGAAAAGACAACGCCCGGCAGATTCCCCCGGCACAACATCGCCAGCCGGCAAAGATATTGTCGACATACTGGAGTCAATCGACCAACGATTGTCCAGTTTCGATGCAAGGCTGTCCTTGGTGGAGATTCTTCACCGGGAATTCAAATGCTTGCGAGAATCCCTGGAGTTCAGCCAGCAGCAGGTGGAAACACTCGCTGCTGAAAATGCCACGCTAAGGGAGTCGGTGAGTTGTGAGTTGAAGTATTGATGTAATAAAGGTGTGTTAAAGGTCAAAGGTCTCTGCTCCTCTCTCTCTGTTCCTCTCTCCCCCTCTCTCTCTCTCTCTGTTCCTCTCTCTCTCTCCCTCTCTGTTCCTCTCTCCCTCTCTCTCTCTCCCTCTCTGTTCCTCCCTCTCTCCCTCTCTCTCTCTCTGTTCCTCTCTCCCTCTCTCTCTCTCTGTTCCTCTCTCTCTCTGTTCCTCTCTCTCTCTCTCTCTCTCTCTGTTCCTCCCTCTCTCTCTCTCTCTGTTTCTCTCTCTCTCCCTCTCCCTCTGTTCCTCCCTCTCTCTCTCTGTTCCTCTCTCTCTCTCTCTGTTCCTCTGTCTCTCTGTTCCTCTCCCTCCCTGTTCCTCTCTCCCTCTCTCTGTTCCTCTCTCTCTCTCTGTTCCTGTCTCTCTCTGTTCCTCTCTCTCGCTCTGTTCCTCTCCCTCTCTGTTTCTCTCTCCCCCTCTCTCTCCCTCTCTCTCCCTCTCTGTTCCTCTCTCTCTCTCTGTTCCTCTCTCTCTGTTCCTCTCTCTCTCTCTCTGTTCCTCTCTCTCTCTGTTCCTCTCTCTCTCTCTCTGTTCCTCTCTCTCTCTCTGTTCCTCTCTCCCTCTCTCTCTGTTCCTCCCTCTCTCTCTCTCTGTTCCTCTCCCTCTCTCTGTTCCTCTCTCTCTCTCTGTTCCTCTCCCTCTCTGTTTCTCTCTCCCCCTCTCTCTCCCTCTCTGTTCCTCTCTCTCTCTCTGTTCCTCTCTCTCTCTCTCTGTTCCTCTCTCTCTCTGTTCCTCTCTCTCTCTCTCTGTTCCTCTCTCTCTCTCTCTCTGTTCCTCTCTCTCTCTCTGTTCCTCTCTCTTTCTCCCTCTGTTCCTCCCTCTCTCTCTCTCTGTTCCTCTCTCCCTCTCTCTGTTCCTCTCTCTCTCGCTCTGTTCCTCTCTCTCTCTGTTCCTCTCTCTCCCTCTCTCTGTTCCTCTCTCTCTCTCTCTCTGTTCCTCTCTCTCTCTCTCTCTGTTCCTCTCTCCTTCCCCCTCTGTTCCTCCCTCTCTCTCTCTCTGTTCCTCTCTCCCTCTCTCTGTTCCTCTCTCTCTCCCTCTCTCTCTCTCTGTTCCTCTCTCTCCCTCTCTGTTCCTCTCTCTCTCTCTCTCTGTTCCTCTCTCCCCCTCTCTCTCTCCCTCTCTGTTCCTCTCTCTCTCTCTCTGTTCCTCTCTCTCCCTCTCTGTTCCTCTCTCCCTCTCTCTCTGTTCCTCTCTCTCTCTGTTCCTCTCTCTCTCTCTGTTCCTCTCTCCCCCTCTCTCTCTCTCTGTTCCTCTCTCCCCCTCTCTGTTCCTCTCTCTCTGTTCCTCTCTCCCCCTCTCTGTTCCTCTCTCTCTCTCTGTTCCTCTCTCCCCCTCTCTGTTCCTCTCTCTCTCTCTCTGTTCCTCTCTCCCCCTCCCTGTTCCTCTCTCTCTCTCTTCCTCTCTCCCCCTCTCTGTTCCTCTCTCCCCCTCGCTGTTCCTCTCTCTCTCTCTCTCTCTGTTCCTCTCTCTCTCTGTTCCTCTCTCCCCCTCTCTGTTCCTCTCTCTCTCTGTTCCTCTCTCTCTCTCTGTTCCTCTCTCCCCCTCCCTGTTCCTCTCTCTCTCTCTGTTCCTCTCTCTCTCTCTGTTCCTCTCTCCCCCTCTCTGTTCCTCTCTCTCTCTGTTCCTCTCTCCCTCTCTCCCTCTCTGTTCCTCCCTCTCTCTCTCTCCCTCTTTGTCCCTCTCTGTTCCTCTCTCTTTCTGTTCCTCTCTCTCTCTGTTCCTCTCTCTCTCTCTGTTCCTCTCTCCCCCTCTCTGTTCCTCTCTCTTTCTGTTCCTCTCTCTCTCTCTCTCTGTTCCTCTCTCTCTCTGTTCCTCTCTCTCTCTGTTCCTCTCTCTCTCCCTCTCTGTTCCTCTCTCTGTCCCTCTCTGTTCCTCTCTCTCTCCCTCTCTGTTCCTCTCTCTCTCTCTGTTCCTCTCTCCCCCTCTCTCTCTCCCTCTCAGTTCCTCTCTCCCTCTCTCCCTGTCTGTTCCTCCCTCTCTCTCTCTCCCTCTTTGTTCCTCTCTGTTCCTCTCTCTCTCTGTTCCTCTCTCTCTGTTCCTCTCTCTCTCCCTCTCTGTTCCTCTCTCCCTCTCTCTCTCTCCCTCTCTGTTCCTCCCTCTCTCCCTCTCTCTCTCTCTGTTCCTCTCTCCCCCTCTCTCTCTCCCTCTCTGTTCCTCTCTCCCTCTCCCTCTCTCCCTGTCTGTTCCTCCCTCTCTCTCTCTCCCTCTTTGTTCCTCTCTGTTCCTCTCTCCCTCTCTGTTCCTCTCTCTCTCCCTCTCCCTTCCTCCCTCTTTCCCTCTCTCTCTCTCTGTTCCTCTCTCCCTCTCTCTCTCTCCCTCTCCCTCTCTGTTCCCCTCTCTCTCTCCCTCTCTGTTCCTCTCTCTCTCCCTCTCCCTCTGTTCCTCCCTCTCTCTCTCTCTGTTCCTCTCTCCCCCTCTCTCTCTCTCTCTCCCTCTCTGTTCCTCTCTCTCTCTCTGTTCCTCTCTCTCTGTTCCTCTCTCTCCCTCTCTCTCTCCCTCTCTGTTCCTCTCTCTCCCTCTCCGTTCCTCTCTCTCTCTCCCTCTCTGTTCCTCTCTCTCCCTCTCTGTTCCTCCCTCTCTCTCTCTCTGTTCCTCTCTCTCTCCCGCTCCCTTCCTCCCTCTCTCCCTCTTTCTCTCTCTCTCTCTCTGTTCCTCTCTCTCTCCCTCTCTCTCTGTTCCTCTCTCCCCCTCTCTCTCTCCCTCTCTGTTCCTCCCTCTCTCTCTCTCTTCTCTCTCTCTCTGTTCCTCTCTCCCCCTCTCTCTCTCTCTCTCTCTGTTCCTCTCTCTCTCTCTCTCTCTCCCTCTCGCTCTCTGTTCCTCTCTCTCTCTCCCTCTCTGTTCCTCTCTCCCTCTCTCTCTCTCCCTCTCCCTCTGTTCCTCCCTCTCTCTCTCTCTGTTCCTCTCTCCCTCTCGTTCTGTTCCTCTCTCCCCCTCTCTGTTCCTCTCTCCCCCTCTCTCTCCCTCTCTCCCCCTCTCTGTTCCTCTCTCTCTCTGTTCCTCTCTCTCTCTCTCTGTTCCTCTCTCTCTCTGTTCCTCTCTCTCTCTGTTCCTCTCTCTCTCTCTCTGTTCCTCTCTCTCTCTCTGTTCCTCTCTCTCTCTCTCTCTCTGTTCCTCTCTCTCTCTGTTCCTCTCTCCCCCTCTCTGTTCCTCTCTCTCTCTCTTTTCCTCTCTCCCCCTCTCTGTTCCTCTCTCTTTCTGTTCCTCTCTCCCCCTCTCTGTTCCTCTCTCTCTCTCTCTCTGTTCCTCTCTCTCTCTCTCTGTTCCTCTCTCCCCCTCTCTGTTCCTCTCTCTCTCTGTTCCTCTCTCCCCCTCTCTGTTCCTCTCTCTCTCTCTCTCTCTGTTCCTCTCTCTCTCTCTGTTCCTCTCTCCCCCTCTCTGTTCCTCTCTCTCTGTTCCTCTCTCTCTCTCTGTTCCTCTCTCCCCCTCTCTGTTCCTCTCTCTTTCTGTTCCTCTCTCTCTCTGTTCCTCTCTCTCTCTCTCTGCTCTGACAATAATCAGATATACAGTTGAAACCAGATATTTACTCTTCAGATAAAAACACTTTTTTAATTGTAACATCAAATCAGACTAAATGTTTATTTTTTAGATAAATATAAAAACACATTTGTTAACTTTAAGAGTAAAGAGAGAAACTGTCTGTGTTTCTTAATTGCAAATGGCACCAAATTGTATTCAAACTGAGCCACACTTATGGAGCTCCACAGCTCTGTTCCTGGTGTTTTGTTGACATCTCTTGATGTTCCCATGTCACAGAAACAGGCTCTGTGTTTTGCTCTCCTACATTTGATGAAAGTGATAAAAATAGAAGCTCTGTCTCTCTTTATTCTGACATTTAGCTAATTCAAAAGATTTTAAATATTTATTTATCCAAAACAAAACAAGTTTATTCTAAAATGATGTTGTACAGTAAAAAATGTTCTTGTGTTTTCCATAAAGTGTAAATATCTGGTTTCAACTGTGAATATACTGCTGTGTATAGAAGTTCCTCTTGTTTTGCATAGAAATATACTGAACAACATACAAAGCATAATATATAAAATAACATCTACCAGAGTTTTTCCTTTGAAAGAAGCTCCTTATGTCCATTCTTGTATATCAGTGCATTACTGAAACAGATTTATTTAGCCGTGGAGGGAAACAACTGAAAATATAAAATAAACACACATGTAAGCTGAGACTCTCAGAAACAGCATTGTTGTTGTTCGGCTTTTCATTTCACCATTTGCTGATTCACTTGAAGAACGAGTAACGTAAACGTATCAGTTTGATATCAGTCTTTTGTGATACACCGTCATATTTACATTATTTGTACAGCTTTGGTACCTGGTCGAACTTCAGTTCTCTGCCTGGCTGCGCTTCTCTAACAGCGCACTCGCAGGCAGCAGCTGCCCCGCCCCTCACTCAGTGTCTGAGCTCAGATCATACCAATATTAGGGGGGATTTACGCACAGTCGTAAATTCCCACAGTGTGCGCTATGTGCTTCGAATATTGTGTGTAGTTTTTGTTTTATACAGTTATCAGCCAGGCATGTAACTATGAAAAAATTACACTCCAAAAGACCCCGGGCTTCTGAAAAAACAACCCGGGCTTAAGCCCAGTAAGCCACCCCCCCCCCCGCCACTGGTTATTATAAGAGATAAGTCATGAGATTTAAAGGCTTGACAAATGAAGTGGCCAGCTGGATCACACTTGCTGAGCAAATGCTCAAATCTATGTTTTAAGTTTTGAGTTCTGTGCATTATTAAAGAAATTAGAGCTGAAATGTGCCTTTAAGGGCAACACCCTCACGTTCATTGATGTGTGTGTGTTAAAACTCTTTGATGTTTTTGGTCACATCTCTCAGCTTTCAGCCTCTTTGACCTCTTCAACATGGCGCCCGCAGTGGAACACCTCGGGACAGGAAGGAGGTCGGGCGCTGCGCCTGCGCAGTTGCTCTGTCCGGGTCCCTGTAAAGATGTCTGAGCAGGCGGGGAGGGAGCGGAGCGGAGGACCCGAAACAACGCGCAGAACCCGCAACTGTCCGCGACTTAACCGGCCAAGGTAAGCGCCGACGGTCCCGCGGGCCGGCTCCGGGCGCACCGACACGCGGCGGAAGGTGTCAGCTCCCGGTGGGGGCTGGACAGTGGCGCGCGGGGCGGCCCAGCTCGGAGCACAGAACAGAAATGTTAGTGAGGGCGCGCGACGCTGTGGCAGGGGCGTGTCCGCCATCTTGTGAGTGAAGTGGCGCCTGAACAGCCGCAGGTCTCTGAGCCTAATGGCGGCTAACTGCCGATGTGACCGCGCGAAGGTTCCGAACCCGACCTTTACTGAGCGTGCTGCCCAGCCTGACCCCACCGCAGAGCCGGACCGGCCGTCACCGTGTGTCCGTGTCGGTCCCGGGCTCCCGAGCAGCCGCCGCAGCCTTTTGTTGTCCTCCTCCCCCTCTCTCCCTCCTCCCTGTTTGTTTGGGAAACCTGCACCGCGCATGCGTGTAACCATGGCGCTAGTTTCTGCGTGTAAGAAAACATGATCAAACGTGTCGACAGCGCGCTAAAATCTGTCTGAGCCCATCGATCATTGTGATCAATTTAATCACTGATCGGCTGTTTGCCGCCGTCTGACGTCAGCGCGCCACATTAACCCGCGGGATCGGAGCAAGCACCGAGACCGCCACAACACACACGCACATAGACGCCTGGATGCACGCACGCGCCAACACACCTGAACGAGCACCTGTAACGCTGATCAAACTACTGATGAGTTTGTCTGATCTGTATAGCCCTCTGAGCAGGGCTGGGTGTGCCCACCGATTCTCACTCAGTTATTCTAATTCTGATCATTTATCAGTACATGGGCATATTTTTACATCTGTGTATAAAACAAAGCTGACACTGAGACAGGTGTGAGCACCACAGCAGAGGCCTTTGTGTCAGAGTAACTGAGGATAAAACAAAAAGCCAGCAGCAGCAGATTTTCCTGGAATAACTTTTTATAGCAGATAATGTTAAAAATATTCTACAGTAGATCAAAAACTGAAGAAAACCACAAATCAACACGTGAACATTACCTGATGCTGCTTAAGGGAAGCAGAGCACACTGAGAGAGAGCTGTGCAGGAAGTGTTTTTTTTATCCTGGTGGATTCAAAAAAGCCAAAGTCAGAGAAAACTCGTGACCACGTGTATCAAACGTGAAACGTAGTTTGGATCTTCTGTTGCTGCTGGTTCAGTGAATTTTGGTCTGAGAGTGACGAAGACATGTCGGCTTTCAGCCCCGACAGCGTGCACGTGTCATGGGGTGAACCATCCTTGCTCTGTTTATATATTTTTACCTGCTCGTTAATCGTTGCTGTTTGGCGAGTGTTGAAATGAGCTTCTGGTATTTCTGTCGAAATACATTGTTATTATTATTATTATTATAAATTATTATGTCAAATCGATACCATTATTTGTAAAACCCACCCCTACCTCTGATTGCAGCTGCACACCTGTCTGACTCATTCTCACCTGTGTTTTGTTTTGAAGGCACGTGATGTCATTCTAACTGCCAAGATGTCCAATGACAGCCAGGGATTGGTGAAGGGGGAGGCGGCCATGATGCTGGCTCCCTCTGGCTCCGCCTCATCTCAGGGACCACCCCTTTCTCCGTCCACTGCCTCTAAAGCACCTGAGCTCCCAGGTACGCTCGTTTGCCTCTTACCTGTCCCACTCACCGTACTCCAACCCTGATTACCCTCTCTCTCTTTCTCCCCCCCTAGATGAGTTGGTTCAGGCTGGATGGTCCAAGTGTTGGTCTCGGCGGGAGAATCGGCCATATTACTTCAACAGATTCACCAATCAGAGCCTGTGGGAGGTGCCAGTGCTCGGCCAGCATGATGTTATTGTGAGTATTGCCTGTGCTTATCATTTACAGTTATTGATTGATATGCAGTTATTGATCAGGTACCGATCTGTGTCTGCAGTCTGATCCTTTAGGTCTAAATGCGGCTCCTGCAGAGGGCGGGGACAGTAACCTTGGTAATGGTCAGAGGAAGAGGAGGAGCTCTGAGGAGCAGGGGGGAGGACCCAACAGCTTCAAACGTGCTAAGGTAAAACGGAGTCCTAGGTTGGATGAGCCAGAAAGATGCTCTGCTGTGATTGGCTGACATACTGACCTTCATGCCCGCTGTTACATTTCCTATGCCACGATTAGTAACCTGACAACCAATCACAGCAGAGTGTGAATAGACTGACGTATGATGCTCCGAGTGCAGGTGAGCGAACCCTGACCAGGTCTGTCTGTTACCAGGTGGAGCCGACCACGCCCATCTCTCCCAGCACTCCTGGGGTCAAACCCTGGAGCTCCGCCGCTGAGGACAAACAGGCCCAGTCCGCCACACCCACCACACCGAGCCCCGCCCCCGCGCCGTACAGACCAGCTGTGTGAGTACTGCATGTTGTTTTGTTTTGTTTTGTTGAAGGACCTTTTTGATTGGTCGGTGTTTTCAGGATTTACTGGGACCTGGACGTGCAGACCAACGCCGTGATCCGAGAGCAGGCCCCCGCCAGCCACCACCTGCCCCCCCACCCCGAGATCGAGCTCCAGCGAGCGCAGCTGGTCACCAAGCTGAGGCAGCACTACCACGAGCTGTGCCACCAGAGGGAAGGTATGCCACACGTGCAGGTTGTGTACTGGTAGCTCCTCCCCCACAGGTGAGAGGTGGAGGGAGAACACATCTTCAGATAGGGTGAAGGTCAAAGGTCATCAGAGACTTTGGAGCCGTCCAAGCCCGAGTGTTCATTAATGGGTATGACGGGCATGTGTGAATGTGAGCTCTGACCAGGTGTTGGTTCTCTGCCTCAGGTATCGATCCGCCCCGGGAGTCCTTCAACCGCTGGCTGCTAGAGAGGAAAGTAATTGACAAAGGTCACGACCCCTTACTGCCGAGTGACTGTGACCCTGTTATCTCCCCATCGATGTTCCGAGAGGTCATGAACGACATCCCTATCAGGTGACTTTAAAATCGAGTGGCGTTCGCGTCTCGTGCTCTTGGCGTTCGTTTGCTGTGAGGAGAACATGAGATTTGCTTTTAATTGAGTGATAAATGTCTGACACTAGAAATAGTCTGAATTTATTGATCAGAGATCATGTGCAGATTAATATATTGATCAGTGATTGGTTTGTGTGTGGCAGGTTGTCTCGCATTAAGTACAAAGAGGAGGCTCGGAAGCTGCTCTTTAAATACGCTGAAGCTGCCAAGAAGATGATCGACTCCAGGTAGGACCCAGCTGACCAACTGCTGAGCTCAATCCTGCTGAGATTATCAAGTGGGCCCACGCTCTGACCTCTGACCTGTCACCCATGCAGGAATGCGAGCCCGGAGAGCAGGAAGGTGGTGAAATGGAACGCCGAGGACACGATGAACTGGCTGCGCCGAGATCACTCTGCCAGCAAGGAGGACTATATGGTAACCTGTGACTTTCGCTTCATCTGTACTCGTTACACGATTGCTTGTAGATCACCTGTACAAGTCGCCTGTGACTGTCACTGGTGTATCTGCAGGACCGTCTGGAGCACCTGAGGCAGCAGTGCGGTCCTCACGTCGCCGCCGTCGCCAAAGATTCTGTCGAGGGAATCTGCTCCAAGATCTACCAGCTGTCTGCGGAGTACAGCCGCCGCCTGCGCCAGACACACCTGAGCCTGCTGCAGGACCCGCCCACTGGTACACTTCAGTCCTGTGTATTATTCACCTGTGTACCTGGCTGTCTGAGCCCATAGTGTTCTGTCTCTGCATGTTTCAGAGGCGTGTGCGTCCCCGCCGCAGTCCCGCCTTGTCTACTGTTACCCGGTGCGTCTGGCGATCCCGTCGCCGCCGCTGCCTCGTGTGGAGCTTCACTTTGAGAATGACATGGCGTGTTTACGCTTTAGAGGAGAGATGGTCAAAGTTAACAGAGGACACTTCAGCAAACTGGTCAGTAACCCCGTGGTAATCTGATTACCTTAAAAATTGTAATCCGAGTACATAACAGCAACCTAGTCAGTACCTCCGGTGTAATCTGTTTACTTTTTACATAGTAATACAAGGACTCAAAAGAGTAATCAAAGTACTCATCAAAAAGCTGGTCAGTAACGCATTGTAATCAGATTACTGTGTCCAATCTGTCCCGTTTGTCTCTCACCTGTCTCGCTGCAGGAGCTGTTGTACAGGTACAGCTGTATAGACGACCCTCGCTTCGACAAGTTCCTGTCCAGAGTCTGGTGCCTCCTGAAGAGATACCAGGTCAGCTGACGGCGTGCTCGCTCGGTTCACCTGCTTCATTAGCTGCTCAAAGCTAACCAGGTGTGTGTGTGCGTGCAGGTGATGTTCGGCAGTGGTGCTAACGAGGGGAGTGGCCTGCAGGGGGCGCTGCCGGTGTTGGTGTTTCAGACGCTGAACCGTCAGTTTGGTGTTTCTTTCGAGTGCTTTGCCTCGCCACTCAACTGCTACTTCAAACAGTTTTGCTCCGCCTTCCCTGATACCGACGGCTTCTTCGGGTCCAGAGGGTGAGGTGACACAACTGGACAATCCGCTGCACAGTCTGTCCACTCTCCCTGTCCCAGCGTGACAATCTGGCATGTGTTTCAGGCCCTTCCTGTCCTTCTGTCCGGTCAGCGGCTCGTTTGAAGCCAACCCGCCGTTCTGCGAGGAGCTGATGGATGCAATGGTGACGCACTTTGAGGTCAGTACTAGTCTCTGATCTGGCCTCTGAAACGGACTGTGATCCAGGGTTTCTGATCCGGTCTCCTGTCTTTCTCAGGACCTGTTGGACCAGTCCTCGGAGCCTCTGTCGTTCATCGTGTTCGTGCCTGAGTGGCGTGACCCCGTGACTCCAGCTCTGACTCGCATGGAAGGAAGTAGATTCCTGCGTCATCAACTCAGCATTCCCGCCTACGAGCATGAGTACCGATCAGGGAGTCAGCACATCTGCAAAAGGTACTCGCACTACAGTGCTGTAGTATTACTGTAATACTAATATTGTGTACACTGAATTACTGATTGATTGTAGTAGCCTAATACTCTGATTACTTTATATATTATCAGGGATGAGATGTACTACCGGGCTGTACACGGTACTGCAGTTCTCTTCCTGCAGAACGACGCCGGCTTTGCGAAGTGGGCGCCTACTCCAGAGCGTCTGGCCGAGCTGACAGCAGCGTACCGCGCCTCTTCGACCCGCATTTCCTCCTTGTCGTCCCCTGGCCCTGCCCACATCTCTCCTGGAGATAGAGACTCCGCCCCCAAAACATCTGATAGGACACAGAGTAACGTATTGTCACCCGGTGGCCACGACGACAACAACAACAACGACAACAACAGCAGCGGTGATAGTGGCAGCAGCAGCAGTCCTCGAGACAAAGTGTCCACCGTGTAGGCGGGGCTTGTGGAGGCCACGCCCTTTCGCCTGTTGGACAGTTGTTTCAAGTTTTGTTTTCTGACTTGTCTCGTTCAGATTGTCTTTCACCAGCACCTGTAGCAAATGTTTATCCATAATGCCACATGCCACCAGGGGGTGGGCGAAGCCTGAATTAGCCCCACCCTCTGCTGGCTTTAACCCCGCTCTGTTGTGATTGGTCAAAGCTCTGGAGCTTTTTTTATTTTTAAAATTTTTTTTTAAAACTTGCAGCTGATTCTTGTTCAGCTGTGGCTTCTGTTGTTCAGCAACAAACATCACAGCCAATCAGTGAGCAGCGACTTCGAGCTCCAGCAATAACCCCCCCCCACCTGTAATGTCACTTGTGACCACGGAGGACTCTGATCCCCGCACCCATAGGGCTTTCTGATTGGTCAATAAGGCAGCTACTGTTTCTATTGGACAGATCTTTGTTTTTCTGGGGTTTGATTTTGTTTTGTTTTTTTCAGTCCTGCTTCTGGTCCCGCCTACTTATAATGGCCCGGCCAGTCAGTGTGGGGAAATGGACTACTCATGAGGTGGAGGATTAACAGTTAGGTGGGAGGAGGTGGAGTCAGATTCAGACTGTTGCTCGGAGACAGACGCCTTAGAGTGCGGGGTCACTGACGCTGAGGGGGCGGGGTCTCATGTAATCAAACTGACAGACATTTGTGTGAACACGACAGTTTTTTGTCATTAACGTCTTTTTTTTCGGGTTCATCAAACGTTTGTCAGAAAAATTAAAGTTTTTTTTATTTAAACTTTTGGGAGTTTGCTTTGTGTTTTGTTTATTTTATTTTTAAGTGTTTCAAACATTTTTTTTCCCTCTTTTCTGCTCTCTGACTCCTCCCACTCAGTAACCTGACACTACAACAAATGTTTGTTCTGGGATTGGCTGGCTGTGGCCCAATGAGGCGTCTGTTTCCGGGGCTGGCAGCAGTGTATATAGTGTATAGCCTGTTGATGTTTTAATTTAAAGCGACGGTGTGAAACCAAAGCGACAAAGCTGCGATAGACAGACTCCTCCTCCTCACATCGTCTTCATCATCATCCGGTGTGCGTGAACTATTTTGAAGATGTTCCTGACCCTCAGAGCGTGCGCCGCCATTCTTACGTTCCTCTTCCCGTTCAGCACGAGGTCATGTGTTCAGGTGTTTCATGCCGCTGCAGCTTCACTTGTTTGGTCACGTTAAGAACGTTCGTCACGGCTTCGACATGTGACAGTAATGTAAAGCACCGCAGGACGCCACTCTGGATGTGTTATTGGCATCAAACCCTGACATGAACTGTCTTAGTCACCATTGTGTGATGGCGTGCATTTAAATGCTGCCCTCGCCATCACACAAAGGTCACTATGAAACTTTTTGCAGTTTTCTTGGCGAGCCGAAGCGCTCACAGAGATGCCATCATAATCTGTCTCCACGGGAACAAATGCACCAGGAGAAACGTGACGCAGGACGCGATGGAACAGCGGATTTTTACACGTGAACGTAATTGTCGTTGTGACACTCGCTCACATGTAAGGATTAACGCGCGTGTGGTGGATTAACTCCGAACCAGGAGTGTGCACGTGAGCCGAGCACTGGTTCTTTGATGTCACAGTGAATACTGAGCTGTGATTGGCTGCTCTGGCAGCAGCAGTGAAACGTGCACATGATGCTCCGGTGATGCAATCAGAGGCTCATCCACTGGGCCCGCCTCCATAGGTGTGTGTCCTGGTCATAGCTGCGTCCATGTGCCCAGTTACTTGTGCACAAACTCCAGGTGTTTGTCAGAGGGCGGAGCTAGAAGTGCTGATAGCTTAGCATAGCACAAAGTCGCTAATGTTGCAGCTGCAGACGTCTCACTTCATCTGACTCACCTGCTGGGTTCACTCCTCTTTGACTGTCTGTGATGTAGACACCTTACTGGAGGCGGCGGCTCGCCAAAGCCTGGCTGTAAACAGGAAGTGGTCCATCTTGTTTGTTGGCCCCTCTGCAGATTGTAAATAGTGTCTGTACTCCAGTAAAATCTGAAACCAGTAAAACCAGTGCTGTTCCTCTTTCTGCTACAGTCACATGACCTCACACAGTCACACCAGTGTAAATGTTTGTCATCTACAGTAAGACCATCTGCAAGTATCATTTGTCGTTTCTGTGTGATGACAGTTTAAACAAACTTCACGTTAGTCAGTTTTCAGTGTTACACTCTCACCTGTGACGTCACCCTGGAGTCTGCCTGCCGGGGTCCATCCCCATGAACAGAACAGAATAAAATAGCGGGTTTTCTCTTAGAACACGGTTGGTGCACACAGTAATGACATTCTGATGCATTTATTCTTCGTCAGACTGCACAGCAAAACAAACTGCAGTAATCGTCTGAGTCACAGCTGAGATGCTTTCCTATCCTAGCCTCCTATCTTCCTATACCTGCTGACAGCACACCTGTCCACGTTTATGATTTGTCCTAAGCTCCGCCTCCTTTGAGTGAATGCGCTGAATGACCAGAAATCCTGAAATTCATAGCGCAAGGCCCAGGACCCGAGGAACAGGTGAGGATAAGCTGATGACCCACCTTCTCTAGAGAAGCTTCTGACTGAAAACGCTGCTGAGGCTGCTCGGCATCAATCCCGCGGACCTGACATCACGTGTAGCACCTGTTCTGTACCGGTTCACAGCCGTTACACACTTTTACAGCTCGTGCACTTGCATTAAAGCGGTGTTCAGTGATATGACGACATCTAATTTTAGAATTTGTATAATTTTTAACATTTCGTATAATTTTAGTATTTATGTTTTATAGTAGTTTTACATAATATGTTTGGTGCCTGTCAGTATTTATCTCCTTTTTACATTGTGCTCAGTATGAAGTTAGTGAGTCACGTGCTGACAGCGATCAGGTTTGTACCTTTCATTGTGTGCCTTACGGCATTCACACTATTGTGTTCCTGTTTCTCTTTAAACTTTATTATTCTACCTTATTCTAGTTGCTCCGTTTCTTTGCTGCGTAACTACTCCCTCAGTTTTCATCCGGTTTTCACCATTCAAAATTTAAACTGTTCTGCTGATTCTGCTAATGCCAGATATATCTTTTGGTGCTCATAGCTTTTATACCTTTTGAAATATTAAGCTTTTTATGCCATTTTTTGGCCCATTTTGATCAATGGGACCTCTCAGCTCTTCAGCAAAAATGTCAGCTCCTTCACTTTCAGCAGAGAGTTCAGCTTTTTCCACCTCTTTTCAATACAAGCCTCTTCTGCTCCGGTTTGGCTCAGTGAGATGAGTAGCCGCCTTAAGACCAGGGGGCGCAGGTTCGAATCCTACCTGTGTCTGATGCCCCACATCTCCTCTTGCACTTACTCTGCCCTTTTAAATAAAGCAGGTTTAAGCAAAGAAATAAGCTTCTACACCGCTTTTCAGCAGATAGTTCTGCTTCTGCTTTTTTCAGAGTCCACTACACGGCATTCACACTGCATTCAACTTTTTCTATTTTTTTTTTTTTAAACAGGCACACCTGTTCAGGGCTGAATGTCGCCACTGATTTCTATAACTGATTCGATTCAGTCAGTCACAAGTATTCTAATTCTGATCATTTATCAGTACATATTTTTATATCTGTGTATAAAACAAAGCTGACACTGTGCTTCAACAGAGGTGTGAGCGTCACAGCAGAGGCCTTTGTGTCAAAGTAATTGAGGATAAAACAAAAAGCAGGAAGCAGAAACCTGGCCTGACTTCTTATAGATAACCTTACAAATACAAATAACCTTTTTTTTTTATAATTGAAGTCTTTATTTGTTTTTAACATTTCACAACACAAAAACAAACACAACAAACAACAACAGAAAAATATATATATATATATATATAAAAAATATAATAATAATAATTAAAAAAAACAAAAAAAAAAAAACAAATCAGTTAACTCAAATCTTTAAGTCATTCCCTTACTGAGTGCCTACACAAACAAACAGTGCAGCAAGCGTACAACATGACTAAAGATAATTGCCCTGACCAAATAAGTTCCAACCATCTCAGCCAAAAACACGTCCCCACGATTTGTCAAAACCCTCCCTATCATCATTAATCCTAGCCAAGAGTTTTTCATACGACACCATTTTCAGCATAGTTTCTATTCTGGAGGAGATGGTTCCTTCCATACACTGAGAATAACTCGAGCCGCTGCGATCACCCCCACCTTTATAACCACAAAGTCATATTTTGAAACCCCAGGTAATACTGACCGATCCCCTAATAAGCACAGTCTTGGTGACAGGGGTATCATCAAACCAATCCACCTTCCTATTTTGTCCAATACTTTTTGCCAAAAGGGATAAACTTTCCCACATTCCCAAATAGCATGTATAAATGTCCCTGGATCTGAACTACATTTCCAGCATACATTACTGGGACTAATTCCCATTCTATAAAGTTTGGATGGAGTGAAGTACCACCTGTGTATTAATTTATACTGAGTAAATTTACCCCTGGCCTCTCTTATATATTTATCAGAGAATGACAAAATTCTGCGCCAGTCTTCTTTAGAAATTGCACAACCCAGATCCCTCTGCCATATAATCCTCAAGTTTTCACATATCTCTTTTTTTGGATTGTTAAACAGTTTGTAGAAAACCGCTGCCCTATGTGCTGTACTGGACAATTCTAAAAACTCCACCACCATATTCGAGCTTTGAGCAAATTTTCCTTTGGTAACACAATCCCTTATTTGTAAATATTTCCAAAAATTATTTTCTCTTATCAAACCGTATTTTCGGGTTATTTCAGCAAATGACATAAACACTCCCCCTGAGTAAAGATCACTTATCCTGCGTATGCCTTTGACAAGCCATTCCTTCCAGAACACAGTTTTCCGTCCAATCCTTACAGCAATATTGTTCCATAGCGAGGCATAAGGTTGTCTTAGATGAGATGCTCCACACAACTTGTGCACCTCCACCCAGACAGCTTTGGAATACCTGAGCACTGGGTTATCATGAGAGTCTTGTCCATTAGTTGCCGCGCCCTGCGAGAGAACATCCAGAGGTGTGAAAGGGCTCGCTAGTTCCTGTTCGATCTTCATCCAGCTCAGCTCAGAGCCCGATCCTGTCCAGTATTTGGCCAGTCTTGACAATCCAAAAGCTAAATTATACAACTTCACATTTGGGAGGGCCATTCCCCCAATGTCTTTAGAGGCCCACATTTTCTTTATATTCACTCTCGGCTTCTTGTTATTCCACAAAAAATCTTTGATTAACTTCTCAAATTGACCAAATATGTGCAAAGGAATTCGTACAGGTAACATCATGGAAACATAATTGAACTGTGGGACCACCATCATTTTAATCACATTAATTTTACCCCATAGTGTAAGATTCAATTCACCCCATTTATCCAGATTTGTTTTTATCTTTAGGAGGAGAGGTTCCACATTTGAAAGCATAATATCCTCCAAGTCGGGTTTTAATAATATTCCTAAATACTTCATACCTGAAGGTGAGTACTTAAAATTGAATGGAGTAACGCATCCAGAATGACATGATGCTGACAATGGCATGCCCTCTGACTTGTCCCAGTTTATCTTATAACCTGACAACCCTGAAAATGACTCAACACACGTGAGTAGCGCTGGTAGAGACTGCATGGGATCCGTCAATACTGCTAAGATGTCATCAGCATATAGAAACAACTTGTGTTCCATACCCCCTGCATGAACACCTCTGACACCCCTGTTTGCTCGAATAGCCAAGGCCAGCGGTTCCAGAAATATTGTAAAAAGCAACGGGGACAAAGGGCACCCCTGTCGGGTCCCGCGAGTAAGATGAAAAAACCCTGACACCAATCCATTTGTCAAAACCGCTGCCCTTGGACTTGCATATACAGTTTTGACCCAATTACAAAACCCAGGCCCAAACCCGAACCTTGCGAGGGTCGTCATAAGGAAGCCCCATTCCACCCGATCAAAGGCCTTCTCAGCATCTAGCGAGAAGGCCGCAACCGGGGTTAGGTTAGATTCGCTTCTGTGCATGAGATGAAGAAGTCTTCTAATGTTATCACCTGAGGACCTATTTTTAATAAAGCCAACCTGGTCACCATTGATGATATCTGGTAATATATGATCCAGGCGGGAGGCCAAAACCTTCGTCAAAATTTTGCAATCAACGCCCAAAAGGCTTACAGGCCGGTAATTTGCTGGGTCCGACAGATCCCTATCCTTTTTAGGAATAAGGGAGATCAGTGCTTCATTAAACGTACTCGGCAAGGAACCTATCTCCAATGCCTCAAGGTAAACTTTATGCAGGACTGGGGCTAAAATATCGATATATTTCTTATAATACTCAATCGGGAAGCCATCCAAGCCTGGCGATTTCCCATTCTTCATTAATAAGATCGCAGCCCTGACCTCTTCTTCCGTTATAGGCTCATCCAGTCTCGTTTTCTGTTCCCCAGAGAGAGTAGGTAATTGTAGACCTGAAAAAAATGTCTCCACCTCCCCTTCATCAAGCGCACCAGCAGACGTATACAAATCCTGATAAAATAATTGGAAAATTGAATTTATTTCCTTTGATGAGGTTATCACTTGGCCGTCCTTCTTAATCATAGATATATTATTCAAATTATCTTGCTGCTTCAGTTGTCTTGCCAATAGTCTTCCACTCTTTTCGCCACCTTCATAAAATTTTGTTTTGAGCCTAAATAAGGCATATTCCGCCTTTTTGTTATAAATGTCATTCAACTGGCATTTTAATTTACATATAGTCTGATATTTATAATTTGAATATTGACTCGCTAAGTCCTTCTCCAACTCCCGTATTTCTTTATCCAAGGTTTCTACCCGTTCTAGATCACTTTTCTTAACTTTTGATGCGTATGTAATCATCTTTCCTCTTATATATGCTTTAGACGCTTCCCAAACTGTGGCTACTTTGTCTGTGGAACCCATATTGATTTCGAAAAATTTTTTGAGATCCTTTGTTAACTCCTCACTAAAACTCTTGTTCTGCAACAACATCGTGTTAAGCCTCCAGCGGCCCCTCTTCGTTCTATCCGTGTTCAAGTCAATTTGCAACTCTACTGTGGCATGATCACTAATAGCAATGGCACCAATCTCACAGTCTACGACTGACTCGACCAGAGACTTTGATATTAAGGCGAAATCTATCCTCGAATATGTTTTATGACAGTTGGAGTAAAACGTGTATTCCCTTGAACTGGGATTAACTAACCTCCAAATGTCCGTTAAG